GTTTAATCCGTTTGTGCCCCCCAATGAGAACGGATAGGATCAGCCCAATCACACGCTCTCCCCCGCCCCCCCCGCCACTTCCTACTTCTTTGAAACAAAGTGCTCGCAGCTTTCCAATATAGGATTCCACGGTAGCAGTAGATAGGCGAGTAGGGCAACCACAGTCATGAACGTTGTGCTTCCCTAGGTTAGGACAAGAGGTTTCATGGACTTGCGTCTTTCCCCGGGAGTCATTCCATGCCAGGAAGCGACAAACATCTTAAAGCGTGGTAGAAAGAAACGTTTTATTCCCCAGCAGAGAACAGAGAAAAGCGTGGAATTCTTTCTTCAGTGAGGCTTTCTGTTTAGCATAAGCGGAGGATAAAGCGATGCCCTGTAAAACTGATTGAGACGACTATCTATGGCGGAAATATCAGGGCTTGAAGCTGAAAAAGGCAAAACCGGAAATCCTGATCATTTGGATATTGACACTCAGGGCAGCAGGCAGCGGAAACAAAGTTGCGCGCAACCGGAGGTAGACCCTATAGGCAAAACAACCGAGACGAATGAGAAAAACAACAGCTTTATTTATGAATACAGTTTGATACGAGGTGGTCATGATTGAACGGCTGGTCAATCATCCATAAATTCAAAAATCTATTGTCATTGGAAAGTCTAGGCTTAGAAGGTTCGACTGTAAGCGGCATGACCAGATGAGGAGGACCTACCTCGCTCACTTTGCCCCAAACAGAAATGACTCCAGTAGCAAGACGCTGTAAAATCGTGTCACAAATAAACTCGGCCAAAGGCGCACAAGAAATATGATTGCGAATATCGCTTGCGAGGGGAGGAAGAGTCAAAGTACCCGCCCTTAAAGTTGCCTTTAAAATTCTTGAAAAAGCGTTGCACTTGTACTTTATTCTCTAGCCAAGCGAGAACAGTTTGCGAAAGTGGGTAAGTGATGGAACCGGCTGGGTCGATCCTTGCTAGGAGATGCTGATGCAGCTGACCGGCAAGAATATTAGCGGGGTCTGGAAAGGTAAGCATTGAAACGTCCGCTGCTAAGTCGCCGCAAATAACACTGTTGATCCAAATTGTAGACAAGTGAGTATTATAAGGTTGAGGGGAGTGAGGACGAGGCTCTAGGGCCTTGCCATCGTGATGAACCCAGGAAATGCTGTTATGTTTGACAGACAACGGATCAAACTTATCCGTACGCTCCCACGATCTGGAACAGCGTAAAGGTCGGTACAGACTAGGCGACAAGTTGCAGCAACATGTGCGTCGCAGCGACAAATCTCTTCGTGTGTACTAGGGACATTTTGTGAAAATCCTTTTCTCTGCAACAGAATTTTGGCGTGCGACCTGTTGCAGCGACAAAATTCTGTTGCAGAGACAAAGATTTTCACAAAATTTCCCCAGTAGACACGAAGCGATTTGTCGCTGCGATGTGTCGCCGTAACATGTTGCTGCAACTTGTCGCCGAACCTGTACACAACGAGGCCTAATCTACTGTGATCAAGAGCCATTATGGCTCTTAAATGTGATCGAAGGGTGCACATATTAGGCTATCAACTCGATGTAAGATTTGGTTCACTCTTAGACAGTTTGCAAATTACTTTTCTCTAAAATCACTTAGCCTTTCCCTCAAAAGTCGCATGAATGTTCTGTAAAGTTAACTGATTTAGGGAATACAAGTTTATTGTTTGATTTAAATTACAAATTTATTAATGGGACCTTCGCTTTTAGCCCTGGCTAAATCAACATATTATCTCCTAGAGACCCTAAACAAGGGTGAAGGGCCCGTAGGGAAAGCGACTGTAAAGTTGGTCAGACTATTTAAATCAGAATAAGGCGCAACAAGGACGTGGGTCGAAGAGACGTTGCGAGACAGCAACTCGGAAGGACCTCCGGGGCGAAGGACCTGCGCAACCTTTAAGTAATGAGACGCGGCGGGAACGTGACACCAACCAATATGCTCCATATCTGTCAGTTGGCTACCCGAAAGGGCTAGACTGATAGCAACCCCGGCCATAAAGCTGTGCAGAGTTTCGCCGTCGTAAATCTGAGCCCCTCGCAAATACTCACGCAGAAGGGACTGTCGGGTAGAGTCGGCAATCTGCTTATTAATAATCTTCCCGGCAGAGGTGAGGGGTCGGAACAAATAACCGGTAGACAGGTCCACAGCAAGCACAGAGGAAATGGCGACATAAACTTCTATGGCATTCACTGGACATGGAGACAAATCCGTATGGCGTCGTATCGCAAAAAGACTGGAGGAGCGGTACCTGGAGGACTTTCCCCAGACGTGATTGAACGGGAGACGTCGTTGTAAGGAAATCGCATAATCTCTTGAGTCTTGACTGGACTAAGATCATTTGCTCCGTTACCGCTGAAAAACAGCGCCTTAAACAAGGCGGCTTCTCTCGCATAAACGATAAGTTGGGTATCGGTGATATCAGGAGTAGACATTTTTCCCAGAATGAAACAGGACAGATGAAAGAGCTTAGAAGGGAAGGGCGGGGTAGCTTGCTTAGGAGTGACTGAAGCCTGTAACTGCGCGGACGAAAAAGCTTTAAGATAGTTTTGAACCTCAGCAGAAGCCGTAGGTTTCCCCAAAGCAAGAGCGGTGTTCCAGTCGCCAATCCAACCCCCCCCCCCCCCCCCCCCCCCCCCCCCCCCCCCCCCTACCAATACCCCCCACCCCCCCCCTCCACCACAGCACCTATCACAACGCAAGAGGGGAGCGGGAACGAACAACAGAGAGGCACAGCGTCGCGTGCGTGGGGAGAGCGAGAGAGGAGGGGGGGGGGGGGGGGGATGGGAGGGGGGGGGGGGGCGCGGCTGACACAGAAAACA